GAACCTCATAGAAAACAAACTGCTAAAATTCAGCCTTGTGATGTTATTAAACAAACACATTTGCCTTTAGATTTCCAGGACTTCATTAGAAGGGAAATCTGGCTATTTTTTTTTCATTTCTTGTTACAGGTGTGTTACATTGAAGGCCACAAGGTTATAAGTCTGGCCAATGAGATGTTTGGTTATAACGGATGGTCCCACAGCATCTCTCAGCAGAATATTGGTATGCTACAAACGTTGAGCCTTTCTGATGTGATTTAGAGTATTCATACTTAAGAAATTCCCAATTGCCCTGATATGAGCTGAGGCCATCAGTCCTGTTTCCTGGAGACCTGGGTTCAAAGCTTTGTTTTTTACCTGCACGCAAAACAGATACATTTGGAAGAAGGAAATCCCTGCATGAAAGTACCGTATATGTGTTATATCCAAGGTCTTTAAATGGACAAGATTGTTTATATATTCTTATTTAATCAGAACCAAAAAACTACATCTGTAAATTGCCAAAAGATAGGTTAGTCGTATGGTTGCTTTTAACACTGGGAAGGCGGACAGCTTAATATAATGCAATAATTACAACTCCGCATGTTAAGTGTCACTGAGCTCTGTTACAGGAGCATGTTTTACAGTTTAGACTTATCTAAATTATTGATTTGTATCTTCTTGAGTCTGTTCTAAGTAATGATGTTGTTGCCTTTTGAGAGTGACATGCAATTTACCTGATCCTGCAAAAAAAAAAAGCTTCTCTAAAATAATGCAAGGCGTACTAGTGAATAATGCTTCTTTTCTGAGGTTTATAATATTAATATGCTTAAAATTAAATGAACAGTATGCGTCCTACCACACGCTATAGAAGAGCTATCTGTGGGTTAGCTTAGTTAACATGGCAAACACAAATCTAAGTAGTTAAAATAATAATAAAGTAAAACAAACTGTACAAGTAGAGTAAAAGTAGAGTAAAAAGCAAAAGAAATACTGTAAAATAAAAGCAAAATCTTAAATGTGTTTAGATCATATTGCACTCATGATTGGTTAAATGTAACTTCAGTTAATGTAAGCCTGAAGTTAAATGTGCAACATAGACCTACCTTAAATTTTAATCTCTGCCTTTTTTCAACATTTGCCCTCGAGATTTTTTTAATTGGTTTTTCTGTTCTGCAACTTCTTTAGATTTTGTGGACCTCATCAATGGCAAGTTCTACGTTGGGGTTAGCGCGTTTGTGAAAGTTCAGCTCAAGGTAAGGTCTAGAACTGAAACACTTGCTCATGTTAAATTTACTGTGGTGTTCTTTAACAGGGGCTTAGGTCAATCACATATAAAGAAAAGAAAGGTGATTCAGAAAAAAAACCCAGAGATGTCTGGATTTCAACAGCAATTGCACCTCCTTGAGAAATTGCTTGAAAGGTTTGCAGCGGTTGTTTGGATAAATACTCTCTCTTCAGCAGGTTACACAGTACAGTCAAATTGAAAGATCAGAATTGAGCTCCATTGTGTAAGATCACAGTATTCTGGCTTAACTAAGGTACAAGTAAAGGTTTATTCCATGCTGAAAAGAGAACACAACGTTTCGGCTGGGGAGCCTTTTTCAGGTGTAAGAGGACCTGAAGATGATGGTGAAGATGTTCTCACACCTGACGAAGGCTCCACAGCCGAAACGTTGTGTTTCTTTTCTTCTCTTTTTAGCATGGAATACACCTTTACCTGTTCCTTTGCAGCCTACGCATGCTGACGCAGCCACCTACTTGAACTTCTTCAACCCACTTAGCCTTCCGCTAAATCTTTTTCAGATCTCTTCATTATTCCTCCCCTCCTCCCTGGGCTCCTTGCCCCCTTATCTCACCAAAACCAGCATTCCATCTCTTCCCAGCGATCTGCTTCAAGACCAGGCTTTCTAACTACCTCCTGTTCCTTCACAGGTGTTGTCGTTATAATATCATTCCTAAAGGATTTAATCTGAACACCTTCAACTTTGACTCAGACACCACCCACAGTAATACTCAGAGACTTCTTCAACAAATTTTGAGGAAACTAATGGCTCTCACACCTGAAGAAGGCTCCACAGCAGAAGCATTGTGTTTCCTTTCTTCTCTTTTCAGCATGGAATAAACCTTTACCTTTTCCTTTGCAGCCTACACATGCTGACGCAGCTCCCTATTTAAACTACA